AAACAGTGATCTGTGTGAGAACCCCTTTTAAAAGTAGTGGGTACTCCCTGTTCTCAAACCACTGCAAATAACTTAATACACACTAAACCACAGTCCTATCATGTGTGGCCGGCAACCTCCGCCACAGCTTTGCTTACATGGTTACACCTCAAAGACAGACAAACAGAAGGAATAATGGGATGGGTGGATGGATGGATGGATGTTTGGCTGGCTGGATGTTTGTGTGCGTGGATGGATGGATGTTTGGATGGATGGGTGGATGGATGTTTGGATGTTTGGATGGATGCATGGATGGATGCATGGATGTTTGGATGGATGGATGTTTGGATGCATGGATGGATGGATGGATTGATGGATGGGTGTTTGGATGGATGTTTGGATGGATGAGTAGATGCATGGATGGATGGATGTTTGGATGCCTGGATGTTTGGATGCATGGATGTTTGTATGGATGGATGGACTGATGGATGGGTGTTTGGATGGATGTTTGGATGGATGGCTGGATGGCTGGATGGATGTTTAGATGGATGAGTGGATGCATGGATGGATGGATGTTTGGATGGATTGATGGATGGATGCATGGATGGATGGGTGTTTGGATGGATGAGTGGATGCATGGATGGATGAGTGGATGCATGGATGGATGGATTCATGGATGGATGTTTGGATGCATGGATGGATGTTTGGATGCATGGATGGAGGGATGTTTGGATGGATGGATGGATGGAGAGAAACAGCTTCAATTGTTTTCCTCTTTCTCTAGCTGGATCTAAGCAATGGGTGACGGGAGCCCCATAAACATGCTTCAGGTGCAGCATTTCACTGGAGCAATGTCTGCTGTCCTCAGCACAGAGCTGGAGGTGGATGCCCAGTGGTACAGAGCTTTGGATATTTGGGCAACGTTGACATTCATGGGAATGAGGTGGTGCAATCTTGCCCGCAGTTTGGCAGCCCTTGTGTTATGCATGGGTTTTACAAAGCTGTGGAAAACCAGGCATCACTAAATGTGCCTATTACCAGTAACACCCAGTAACCACAGCTGATGTGATTTGTGGCTGTAGGCCTTGCTGGGGCATTGATCAATATGTGCTGCTCACACAAAGGCTTTGCTAAAGCATCGGTCAGAGTCATAACCCTGTTGGAAGCATGAACATCTCGCATCAGCAAAACTTGGCATGTGGGATAGATGGGCATTCCTCCCAAAAGACAGGATGGGGAGATAGCTGTACAAGGGGTAGGATAATCCAAGACCAGGGTGATAAACCTGGAATGGGCACACCCAGTCAGGACATGAAACAAGCCCATGGCTTATTTATACAAGATGGTTTGAGATGTTGAAGACACAGATGGGATGCGACGTGTCATTTGTTTTGATCTTTGTATAAAAGGAGAATTGGAAATTGGGGAAACTTTTGTAGCAGCCTGGAGGAGCCTGTGTGGTGGTGTGCTGACAACTTTGTCACAGGTACAAATGCTTTATCTCCCGCTCTGATATACTTGTTACGCCAAAATGTGTTAGGGCTGTGCTTGCAAATAAGCCTGGCCGAATCTTTGCCCTCAAACCAAGCCCGTGGTTGTTCTTTAAGACAAAACTGTTGGGATCTCCTGGCTGCCACTTTTCCAGCACCAACAACACAACAATAACCCTTATGAGGACAACAGCAATGATGACACCGATAACTGGTAACAAGAAAACTTGTGCAAGTGCAGGGTCTGGCTCGATCCTTTCCATGTTCTGTATGTGAGGGTTTTGCTTCTCATGAGAGATCTTCTCATGCATCTGTTATGCGTCTGAAAACTGGCAGCTGGACACAGCTGCACGGGAAGAGGAATCCAGGCTCTTGGGTCAGATAGCTGTTTCTCAAACAATCAGGGGCTCAGGCACGGCCGAGCAGACCACGCGAGAATCCGCCAAAACATCAGGAGCAAGGAATGCATGGATTTGGGGTTTTTGGGGTTTTTTTTGCTTCTACTGTATTTTATTTATTTTTATTTTATTTCTTATATGCCAGCCTTTCCAACCGGGGCTCAGGGCAGCTTACCATAAAATACATTCTGCTAAATCCCATATAGAATTAACATCAGTTTGTTACTAAATAATATCCCAATTTAGCCTTGCTGGCTGAATACCTCTGCAAATAAGCAGGTCCAACAGTGTCTAGCTCCTTTGGGGCTCCATACTTGCAGGCAGGGAGAAAAGCAGAGGGTTATTAATAATCAGTCCCCAAAGGAAAAGGAAGAAGCTGCTGGGGCTTCAGAGCACAGACTATAAACTGCCCTGCACAGTGTCCCTCCCAGAGACTTTCTTTGCATGCCTTCCACCAGGCTGGTGCAGCCCGGAGCTGGGTTAAGTGAAGCATTTAGAGCCCCAAAATGTCCCTATCTGTGTGTAATGATGCAGAGGAGACACAAAGGAGGGTGCTTGTGAAAGGCTTATTGCTGTTGTGCTTGGGGCTATGGAAAAAAGCAGTGGCTAAATGAGCTGAACACACTGATTAATTTAATCTTGCTACACGGCTTCCTGTTGGCCTCCCTAGCGAAGATTCACAGCTGGCCAGATGTTCACCCAGCAGTAGAGGTATGGCACTGTGGCATCTCCTACATGGGAGGTGTTCAAGAGGGGGCTGCATAAGCTCTGGAGGGAGATGATTTAGGAGTAGCATTCCTGACCAGACGGCTGTTGAGGTTATAGAGTCATAGACAATGAGGGTTGAAGGGATCTCAGGTGGTCACCCCCCTGCTCAAAGCAGGACCAGCCCCAGCTAGTTCAACCCAGGTCCTTTGCAGTCTTATGCAATGAGAACACAAGCCATGGGGCATTTAAAGACCAGAGCTCATTTTTCAGCATTTTCACACCATCATTTCTAGTTCATGGAATAATTCATCCACGGCTGGTTGTACCCCTGAACAGGGAGACATACCTAGCCGTGCTAGTCTGAAGTCAAGCAGAAGGCAGGCAAGATTTGCACCTAACAGGCCAACCAAGGTATGCGTATATATAATTCTATATGTCTATCTCTATATCTAACTGGTATGCAGATATATATTATATAGATAGCACAAGTTTCCATGGGCTGAAGTTCACTTTATCAGATGCCATGAAAGGAGATACAGAAAGCAGAGTATAAGAAGGAGAGAGGAACTAGAAAGCCACCCAGGCTCCTGGGAGGTGCCCTGTACTGAAGATGGTACAGTGTCATCTCTGCTTTGCCCTTGGCATGGAGGTGGGTGATGCTTCATATGTTTCCATGTGACGTTTGTAGGTATTAGATTATTTTTCCCCCATCAGCCACCTGCAGTAGGAAATGAGACCTCTCTGTTTTGTGGGACTCCGGGGTTTTGTACGCATAGCCTGAAATCACGTTTGTGTTTCAGATTCCATACTCCACGAGGTTTTGCTCTCTGTTGGACCCTTTGTCTTCTAGCCCCTTGTGCCGTGCATCAGGCTTAGGCATCTGCACCGCAGCAGCATTTAACACTGTGTGCATCTCTCCCGTGTGCATTTTAGTGGATGATCTCTGTGCTGTCGCGCAGCCGGCAGCCCTGCACATTTGCAGGAAGTCTGCGATGATCACTTCCAAATTGGCTTGTTTAAAGTTCTGTTGAACCATTCATAGGAAAGTGCGCTTGTGATCTGCATACAGACGTCTCTCCCTCTCCCCAAACCTTCAGTTTCTAAGGAGATAAACCCTTGTTTATTTTCAGATATTCATTCTTTCAGGTTTCCTTGTCTGCTGAAGACAGCAGGCAGCAATACAGCTATGGGAGCAGAGGGTACTGGTGATATCAATCTTATTTCCAGCCATTTCTTGTACAACAGCACTGTCTACCTCAGGATAAAGCAGCCTAATCACATTTCTGCATGCCAAGCTTGGAAATGCTTCTTGTCCTACATGCAGGACCAGAGACAGGCGGAGCTCCAGAGTCTCAAAGCATGGATGAGATGATGGGGCAGGGATTTAGGTTTATCTGGAACTGGGGAACCTTGTGGAACAGGAGGAATCTGTACAAAAAAACCAGGCTCCACTTGAACCAGGACAGGACCAGACTGCTGGCAAAACATTGACAAGGGTGTAGAGCAGATGGGATAGGATAGAGGTCTATAAAATCAGGAAGGGTGTGGACCAAGTGAACAGCAAACAGTTGTTCACCAAGTCCCGGAATGCTGAAGCTAGGGGGCACCCATTGAAATTCCTAGGTGACAAGTTTAAACCTAACAAGAGAAAATAATGTTTAATGCAATGCATCGTTAACTTGTGGAACTCATTATCACAGGAGGAGGTGGTGGCAGAGAGCAGCGCCAGGTTTAAGAAGGGACTGGATAAATTCATGGCTCATAGATCTATTAATGACTATTGAACACAATGGCTGGAGATGTTTCCTTTGGCATCTCCAAACCAATAATAGTGGACACCAGGAAGGGCACTGAATAGGGGCTAGATCGTGCTTTCCCTCTATAGCATCCGCTTTTGCCAATGTTGGAGACCGAATACTGGACCATTGGTGTGACCCAGGATGACACGTCCTCTGTTCTTAAATAAGCCCTTGATCCTATTGCCTATGAGGTCAAAGGAAAAAGCACTATAATAGTAGGGTGAGTGATTTGAGGAAGAGAGAGAATATGTGAACAGTTCAGTTGTTCAGTCCCACGTCATTACATTGGTTTGCAATGTGCTACTTTCTCTAGGGAATTATTGCCTTTGGGTTGGCACTGGACACTGGGAAGTGTACAGTCAGCTTGGCTTATCATTGCTAATCGCTGTGAATCCATAATACCCTGTTGTGGCAGAGACCCATCTCTCACAGGGCAAGGAGAATGACTGGAGTGGTAGCATGTGCGATGGGCTAGTGACACGGGCAGAGTATATTTGAGCAACAAACAGTGAGAAAATGCTGGATCTTCACGTTCTCTTCTGTTTATTAATGAGTTCTTTACATGTTGGTTTTCAGGGACTGGAAGCGTCTATGGAGACTAGCTGAACCTCCCAGCATACCCTGCCATGGCCAATCCCAATGGAACCACCCTCCACGCCTCCATCTTCATCCTCATTGGCATCCCGGGCCTTGAAGGTCTGCACATCTGGATCTCCATCCCTTTCTGCACCATTTACATCTTCTCTCTCTTAGGGAACTGTCTCCTCCTGGTTATTATCAAGACTGAGCCGAGTCTCCACCAGCCCATGTACCTTTTCCTGGCCATGCTGGCGATCGCTGACCTGGTTGTCTCCTCCACCACCCTGCCCAAAATCCTCACCATCTTCTGGTTCAACAATGGTTATATCAACATTGATGCTTGCCTGGCTCAGATATTTTTGGTCCATTCTGTTTCCACCATGGAGTCTGGGTTCATATTGGCCCTGGCCTTTGATCGTTACGTGGCCATATGCAACCCTCTGAGACACTCGGTCATCCTCACCAACAGGGTCATTGCCAAGATCGGGCTGGGGGTGGTGGTGAGAGGGTCCGTGCTGCTGAGCCCGCACCCCTTCTGAAGTGGCTGCCTTACTGCAGGACCAACGTCATCGCTCACACCTACTGCGAGTTCATGGCACTGGCCAAACTGGCCTGTGCAGACACGTCATCCAGGAGAGCCTACAGCCTGACTGTCGCCTTCCTCACTGGGGGGGTAGACTTGGTCCTCATTGTGGTGTCATATATCCTGATCCTTTGCACTGTCTTCAGGTTCCCCTCCAAGGAGGCGCGTTTCAAATCCCTGGGCACCTGCAGCTCCCACGTCTGCGTCATCCTGGTTTCTTACACACCTGCGTTCTTCTCCTTCCTGACCCACCGCTTTGGTCATAGCGTGGCCCCGCATATTCACATTATCATAGCCAACATATACCTCCTTGTCCCATCTATGTTTGACCCCATCATCTATGGGGTCATGACCAAAAAGATCCGGGAAAGGGCGCTGAGAATATTTTGCCCCAGGCACACTCAAGCACTTTCATAGGACAAGACAGTCAGTGCAGAAGTCTCGTTCACTGGTCCCAAGTGACTTCCCCTTTACTTCTCAATAACCATCTATCCCAAGGCAATGCAGAACCCAGAACTAGGATTTCACCAGCATTTACTGTATCATGCCCATGATCTTCAGACTGAATCAGAGCACTTTTTTTCCAAAAAACATGTCCCTTTTGGTTTGAAGACTTCATGTGGTTGTCTCATCTCACCCAGCAGTGTTGCATACATGTGGAATACATGGGAGGACTGATGGGACTTTGCAGGTGATGGTTTAGAGACATGTAGCAGTTCTCCATCCTGTCCTTTTGGGTCTCTCCTAAAAGAAAACATTTCCAACTCTGTGGTCTCTTTGTTGGGGGCCGGGGGGAGGGATGTGTGGCTGGGTATGTCCTGGCCAGGTCTGATAGGTGCTGCTGCTGAGATCAGTGAAAGTTTCTATCTTCTGGAGGAAGAATAACCATGCTATGGTATTCTCCCAGAAAGCACCAGGGGCGGGAGCCTAACTCTGGCTGCTCGTTCTTCCTCTCTCTGTGCAAGTATGTCCTGTGTTGTAGTAAAACGGGAAAACAAAGCCAAAAAAAAAAGAAAGAAAAGAAGAAGGTGACAGTGACAGCCCAATAGTTACTGCAAAACCCCCAGCTTTCTTTTCTCAGTAAGGATCTTGACCATCACTTAACAAGTGATAGTAAGAAATTTCCCATTTAAAAGTCTTTCTACAGATGAAAGGGAAAGGAATAAGGGGACCATGTTCAATTGAATGCTTATGTTATGTTTCAAACACTGTCAACACGTTCTTTTTTGTGTAATTAATAGAAGTTCAATGTGTACTTCGCTACAATTATTATAGTGAGAACCGCTGACTGTTGATCTAGAACCTGGGAAAACACAACAGTTTTAATAATAATCCAACCTAATTCCCCCATACTCCACTCTTTACACAACCAGAGCCATATGAAGAAATGCCATGAGTGCATTTTGGTCCCAACCCATTGTTTTTTACTCAATATCTAGAAATGTGCTTTGCTAGTGGGTTTCTGATGTGGCTTGTAAAAAACATACTGTCTGTGTCTGTACAAGGTGCTTGCTGCACAGTGTGGAAATAAGTTTAACCAGGCCTCTTACTTGACTAAGAGGAGAGACAAAGAGAGAGAAAGAGAAGAGAAAAAGATGCTGATGCTATGTGTTTAAAAAATGTTCTAAGATAAGAAAAAACCTTCATGCCTTGTTTTGTCTTGATATATTAAGCTCTGTGTGCAGATGTTAACCTCCTCCTCTCCTCCGAACCGGAAGCTGATAACTGTTCCCAAAACAGTGTTTTTTTCTAAATAAGTAAACTGCTTTCATGTGCAGTAACAACTGCACAGGCTGTCTCTCATGTAGACAAGGCCAGTGAGCACCAATGGCTTTTCAAACACTTAAAGGGAGGCTACTATCTTCTTGTCAACTCAAATCATAGAGTACTATTCTCCATCATATCTCTACTTCTGCATGGCACCATGAAGACATTAAAGCAATGTACAATTCAATTTAGCCTTGAGATCAAAGTCTAATTCACTCCAGGACCAACTACAGCAAGAAGCAGTGGAGAGAAAACACACTGGTGTGCAGTTAATACTATTTGGCTTTACTGAGCAGTAGACCAATTTACTGCACAGTAAGCACCTGCAGGTGTAGATGGTGATGCTTTACTGTGCATTAGCTTAGTCTAGTATGCAGTAAAGTGTCTTGTGTAGACATGGCCACTGTTCTTCATTTTGTTTAGTGGTGGGGTATGGCCTGCCAGTACAGTATGGCTCTACTTGGTAGGGGAATATGCTGGACACACAGGTAATGCTCAGTCCTTGTGAAGAGAACAGGGCCAAGAAAGACAAAGAGACCCTTTTCTATCCAGAGGAATATGCTGGAGGAACAAGGTGGAGGCATAAAGTCCCTGATGGAAGATTGGATGGAGCATAGATGACCTTTCTTGTCTTCCGAGGCAGCAGCAGCAGCAATGAAGAAGCAAGATATGTAGGTGCAAAGCCTTCTCTGGTGAAAATATGACCAGGAGACACTTATCCTCCTCTGGGATGAAGTGGTGAGAGACGTGTCCATGGTTTTCATGGGGCATCAGGGTAGGAAAGGGTGGGTAAAGCCCTCAGAGAGAGAACTGGGAGCTGAGAGGGGGGTTATGCTCCCTTAGATACTGGAAGAAACATGAAAGGAGAAGGGTGACAGGAGAGACAGGGTTTCAGGGTAAGTGGTGTGGCCTCAAGGCACAATACTCTGTGCTTCACAGAGAGAGGGGATGGGCCTAAAAGTGACAGAGATGAATCCAATCCCTCAAAGGGCTGTGGGGAGGCAGCAAGAGATACCTGGTGCCTCATGCTGTGGACAGGTGATGAGGGCCAAAGGGACATGCACCCATGGTGCGGATCTAGGATTCTGGACAGGGTGGTGCTGATGGTGCTGTTAGCGCACCAACTGTCCACTAAGGGATCACTAAGGGATCACTAAAGCACAATTAACCCAGCGTGAATGTGGAATACGTCACACACTCAACTAAAATCTGACTTTATTGATTCAACATATGTCATCTTAGTAGTTTCTATATACACAGAGAGAAAAACAGTACAATGATCTAATTCAATACCAGGTGATGTTTTCTGCACCCCAGGGTCTGATGGATGACTATTCAGCAATCCTGAAAGTAGAAGGTGTTCATTGGTGGGCAATCTTTATGGCTGGCACTATCCAGACAGATGTTGTTTGCTGCATAGATGATGATACACATCTAACTTTCTTGTTGTCCCCTTTTATGCTTTTCTTCAGTTTCACTCCTTTGGTGACTCCTTGTTTCTGGGTATTGTTGATTGGTTTCCCTACGAGCAGCTTGCTGTTCATGTTTTATCCTGTCAGCATGTTCCTTTGTTCCAACAGACCCATCACATGCACACCTCTTAATTTGGTCTTTTGCTGGTGTCTTAAATTTGGGCATTGTCCATTGGTCCCCTCTTGTCACCTTTCATTAACATATCCAACTGTTTCATGCCTCTGATGCAGTTGGTTAGTGCCAAGTTCAGTTACCTTGAGCTGGTAACAAGGCTAACACTATGGCGTGTTAGAAGGACTTCTTACAGTGAGAAGGAAGGAAAGAAACAATATATAAGCGAGCTCAAGGCTATGGCTGACTACGCAAATACCAATAGCAGAAACAGAAAAAACAAGAGAAGGTTCAAACAATGCTGTGATTCACCACCCCAGCAGGTGCAACTAAAAGTAAATGTGACAAGCTACCCTAACACTGTGGAGCATCATCACATATAACATTTTAAATTAAATATAACACATCACATTTTTCTCTAGTTAAAAATAAACTAGAAGGTTTACTAATAAGGTAGATGCCTAGGGCTGGATTATTAAGTTTAAAACTGAAGCAAAAACAAATGTAACTTTATTGGCATGTACATTGGTTCTGCTTGAGCAGGGGGTTGGATGAGATGTGACTTTCTGAGGTCCCTTCCAACTCTCCTTTTTTATGCTTCTGTGACTAATATGCGATATCATATATTTTGTATAAAAAACAAAACAAACTAGGCAAGACATAATCAAAAGATGTTGTTTCATTAGTCCTGTAGTTATTAGAATTAAAGTACATCTTTTTTTCAGATTCAGAAAACAAAATCCATCTTTCTTCAGCATCTCGGTAGCACCTTGCATGCTTCTCTGAAAGTTATTTCCACACCCGAGTTAATATTTTTAGTTAGAGTTAAAAACAGTCAGCATGGCTGTGAAACAGGAGCTGTTACTAGGAGCAGCGAGCGGACAGCAGAATGGTAGAAGAAAGGATTGCTGGATTAGTGGAAGATCCAGACCATTAAGCAGGAGAGGGCTGTTAACACCTATGGAATGAAGAGTTTAGAAGGAATCAGTGACTCCCTCACTGCTGGAGTTGGAGTCGCTCCATTTCCCACCCTGTTGGGAGACCATCCAGCCTTTAGGGCTTGGCCAGCCAATCACAGCATGAGGCAAAGCCTGTTCCCTGTGTTTCATTGGATGAAGGTGCTGTCACTCATTGTCCTGAGGGAGACAGGGGTGGGTGGGTGGGTGCGGGGGGAAGATGGCTGTGAGGGGTCAAGCCACGAAAGGGAATCCTGGCAGAGTTGCCTAAGCCAGTGATGAAAGATGGTGGCTGGCTCCACCGTGGCTGGCCCTTGGGCCCTGCTCAGACTCCACATAGCAGGCTGGAGCAGTGTCAGCCCACACGTCATCTCTTTGAGCTGGGGGAGACTGGAGGGGGACATCCTCAGAGACTCAGGTTCCTTCACCTTGCAAGGGAGCCATTGCTCAGACCCCATCCTTCCTCCTCGTGCTGGTGGGAGAAGGTCTCACCCCAGACAACCCAGGCTATGAGTCCTGAGTTCAGGATGAGGGAAGTAGAGGGGAGACTCTGTCATGAACCTGTTCGCAGGACTTATGTAATATTTTTTTGCCTTTGGTGGGTTCCAGGGCTGGGGCATGGATGGTGCCTGGTCAACCCAAGTTTGCTGTAACAGCTTGTGGCTTATTTTTGCTCTCAATGGGTCTCAGGTCGTCTGGGCCAGAGCACTCCCCCTTCCTTTCAAGTCTCTACACAAGGCTGCTCTGCTCCCGTCTTACTTATCTGCTCTCACCCTTGTCCCTCTGGGCTAGGTCCAGTGCCTAAGTAACCACCTCAATCTGGGATGAGGGTACTAGAGTTGGCTTCTACTACTTTTACTTACCCTACTGTAGCAAAGTAGGCCTATAGGCTGACAGCACCATTGGTGTGGGGACAGGCACATGGCCACCCCTCAGTGACTATCAGGGATCAAACCAAGAATCAAGCTTTGTAAGCAGAGCCCTTACAAGTGTGGCTGGAGCCCCAGTCCAAAGAGGGGTGCTACCCCAGGCTGTGCATGCAGCTGGATGGATCACAGGGTGGGGAGGGGTGTGTGTGTGTATATATATGAGGGTGTGTGTGTGTGTGTA